GGGGCTCCGTGCAGGGTGGGGGCGGGGAGGGAGGAGGCGACGAGCCCCGAGTCACGGGGAGGACGGAACCACGGGCTGGCGTGGGTTCCAGCTTCCCAGACCCGGGCTCGGGCGTGACGGGCTCTGCGGCCGCTGCTCCTTGTCCCTGCGGGAACCGGGCTCGGGGCCCCCGTGGCACCCACGTTGCCCTTTCCCAGAGCTCGCCCTGCCCTTGACCATCTACACCGTCCTTCGTGCTACTTCCCGTGACCTCCACTGCCCGCGGATGTCGTCCGGGGTAAAGACAGGAAGGATGGGAGTGCCTGGATGCCCTCCCCTCTTCTAGTGCCCAGGCTTCCCTCCCGGATGGCCCCGCGGTCCCCTTACCCTCTCCACCAGGGCCACCACCCACCCCTGCCCGCCACAGCCTCTTCTCAGGGGGCTTCTCCTCCACTGGACTCACCCCAATCCACTCCCTACGCTGTCACCAGAGAGATCTCGCTCAGATGGAAACAAACCGTCCCTTCCTAAAAGCCTTCGGTGCCCCACGTTAGCCACGGGGCACAGTCCAAGCCTAGGGGCCCCGTGGTCTGACTCCTGCTCACTCCCGGTGCTAGATCCCATCCACCCCTGCACAGAAGCCTCCCTGCTGGCCTGTTCTGCCACACCAGGGCTCCCCAAGGGCCGCGGTTGTAGTTTATTTATTTTGCGCCTCCAGCAAAACTGAGCAGAACTGGCCCATCTTTTCCTATGTTTTTTGAGGCACCGAACAGAAAAGGTTCATTTAGAAGTTGCTTTGAAGAAGGATACCCTTCTTGATCATGTTTTATTCTGTTTACTAAGAACAGAACAATGGGCACTGTTTCTTGTAGGTGCCGGATGGCCTCGGGGTCCTCCCCGGAGAGCGGTTTCGGAGGGAACAGGAAGCCTATTACGGGGGAGGCCAAGGTACACCTTCCAGCCACCGAAATCCACAACAAACACATCTACCTTGTGTTAAATCTCTCACTGGGCAGGTGAAAAACGTGTGTGCGCTGGGGTTGAGAAAGGGGGATTGACTTTGGATAATGTAACAGCACAGGGGTTCCGGGGAGCTGGCGAGCATTTGCAGTCCAGACACGGTAAGTGGTTTTCAGGCTGCACGTTAGGGCCCCCACGTAATGAGCCAACAAACCCCAGCCGACCGCCCAGCAGAAGAGGCCCAGGTGGGCCTGGAAAGGAAAGGCCTCGGTGCCGCAAGATTCTCACCCGGGGCAGACCTGCGGTCGGCCCCGAGGCAGAGCCGGGCAGGTGCCCGCCTGCTGGCTGGTCTGAAGGGTGAAGGGAGCCGAGCACAGTCCTGCCGGCGGCCACGGTGGGCGAGGGGGTGCGGGGGGTTTCAGAGAAACAGCACAGTCACAGACCCCATGAACAGCAGGGTAGGAGCACTGTGTTCTCCTGTAGGAACCAGCTTTTGCCATCGGCCGTGTGTGTGTGTGTGTGTGTGTGTGTGTGTGTGTGTGTGTGTGTGTAACCAGAGTCTCTGTGCGTTTGGAACCGCTTCATGTTGACTTTCCACAGGTGAACCAAGAGAGGCTTGAATTGGGGAACTGGGGTGACAGTGTCCAGGGATTCCTTATTCTAGTCTCTCTTTTTGGGGGTGTATTAAATTTTTCACGAGGAAAATGAAGGAAATGAGAAAAATTTGGTGTGTTAAAGTCTGATTTGTTAAACGAGCTGGCGGGGTGCCATGTCTCCTCCAGGCAGACTCCCTCACGGGCCACCGGGACTTAGGGGGCCCGAGTGCGCCCACGGACACTATCCTTGTCCAACGGCAAGTCCAAAGGCAAAACATGAGAGGTGTTTTCAGTGACACAAGAGCAGTCAGTAGCTTAAACAGACCTACGTGCAGGGGAAGTGAAACACGTTTCTCTTACCGTAGGGACGCCCGTCTGGGTCTCTGGCCTTGCCGGTGACCCTGCCTTCAGGGGATGGCCAACTTCTTTTCTGAATCGCCCTCACCTGGCTCCCTACTATCCCTCCAGAGCGGGCTCCCAACTTGGGCTGCCCGGGACAGGGGAGGGGGGGGATCCGCTGTGGAGCCCCCGGGGGGGCGTTCTCCAAGCAACCCCCAGTAACCCTGGGGCTGAAGGCAGCTTCCCCCCCCCCACCTGCCGTCTGAGACTTTGTGCTGCCTCCTTCTCCTGTGCCCTCCCCACTGTGCACCCTTCACCACCCAGGCGCCCTCTTCTGAGAAGCCCTTCCTGACCCCTGGCGGTCACTTTCTCCCCATGTGTTACACCCCCGGCCACATGGCTGGTGACGGCGGCTAGTCTGTCCAGCTCTGGGAAAGAAACCTCACCTCTCCCACCCAGAGTGGAGCCGGGGCCTCACCCTACAGGGTGGCGACCAGCACGGGCTCACGTCCCCGAGGCCCCCCATCAGTCATAAGCTATGTCCGGCGCTAAGACACTCCCCAGGGGCGTCTGCTGGGGCGATTTTTGCATTTTAGGCATCACACAAGTCTGCACCGTAAGGAGCCTGCAGCTCATGGGAGGGCTCAGGGCGGCCTTCACCCCCGAGGGCACTGCTCAGCCCAAGTGGACTGCTCTGACTCCTGCACAGGCCTCCGATTAGGGAAAAGTGAGACAAAACCTGAGGATTGCTCAAGCGGAACATGGTAAGGGCAGTCGGGGGGCCCGGTGGTGGTGCCACGGGCTCCCATGCACA